TAACAATTGAAATGACCTTGATATAATCTCATGAATGAAATGTTAAGGCAATAGATAGCAAACCAACTTTTCTTTTCATTTGAAGTGTGCTCTCGCCATGCTTTCTCTAGATCATTTAGGACTTTTGTGAGTTTTAATGAGGCATTGGGGTGATATTTGGGTTAATTGAAATGAAGGTAGAAGGAGGCAAAAAGGTTTTTTTCCGAGGACATGACCTTTATTATCAAAAATCTTCTTTTTGTGGAATTTTCAACTTTACCTTCAATTCAACTATTATGTCTCTTTTTCCTTCTTTCTTTTTTTTTCATTTCTTTTCTTTTTTCAACCCCCTTCCTCCCTTTTCTTGGATTTTTCTCTTCTTTTTCAGTAAAAATTTGATTTCAACGCCATTCATCCCTTTTTGGGTTTCCTCACCACATTTTCTTTTCTTCATGATTAATCACAATCAGTCTTAGAACAAACAAGGTGTGGTAATTATTTTGCAATGGCTCAGTAAACATGTGGTATGGAAACAAATTTTCAATATAGGTTTAATCACGACACTAGGGACAAAATTTTTTCACAAGAAAAGGTTAAGGCTCAACACTTGTCAAAGATGGTCTAAGATCATCTCTAGATAAGCATGGGAAGGCATATTGAAATTTTTAGAAAAATTCAATCAACTATCCATATGCACTCTAACCAAAACAAGTATAATGAGATTATTGAACAGATTTTTGAATTGAAAATTTGTTCCTTTGAGTAAATGTAAGTCCTCTCCAACAAGGATCGGCACTAAAGCTCACATGGGTACTTACTTTATCTCCACTATGTATGTCAAGCTCTAAAATGTGGATTCAATCAGCAAATTGCCGAAATTACACATTCAAGGTGCACTATAGTTGAGTTTGAAAGAAAACACATATGTGCTACTCAAGCATAGGATAAACTTTTATGGTGTGCTCATGTGTTCAAAGTTCAAAATGAAGATCAAGGAATTACAATCCCATAACAATTGAATATGGGAATATGGTTCAATATTTAGATATTTTTCACAAAAAAAAAATTCAAAATTTTCACATTTCTAACTATTCTACACAACAATGGTAGAATTTGGTTTGTTTTCCCTAACTTCCCATATGAACTTGGTTGTGTGTATAGCTTATAGTGTATGGTGAGTGTCACTCTCCCTCGAGTTCAATGCAAGAAGTGGAAAAATTTTGTGTGGATGAACAAAAATGTGTGAGTGTAAAAAATTGCTCCCCAAGCATAGAGAGTCTTACAAGGTCATGTTTTACTTGGAATGAGTATTCCAAGGTCGTCTCCTCAGGGAAGGCGAGGTCGAGTCATCTTAAAGAGTGATTTCTAAAAAATAAAAATTAGAAAATCTTGTGATTTCAAATTTGGTGGGTTGTGGCTAATCTATAGAGGTTATCCCAATGGGAATGTTAAGTCGACTCATTTCATTCAACCAATGGTACCTAGGTGTTTGATTGATTCATGGGAAGTGAGGGATGAGTGCGATTGTGTTGGACAAGAGCATACCCCATGGCAAGTCTATGGTGTATCAAAAGTCCACAACCACGTTCGCTCTCAACCTAGTCAAACCAAATACTTTACACTACGAGGAAGAATAAAAGAAAGTCAATTTCACATACCCAAGAGGGAATCCCTCTTGGATTAGCCAACTAACATTTTAGTTATCCATGGTAAAAGCAAGAACAAACATTAAGGAGAAAGAAATGGTTATGAAATCAAGCATAGACTTGTATTAAGGTAAGAAGAAGTTTAAACTAAAAAGGAAAAGAAATTCACTTCCAAAAGGTAAAGCTTGAGGGGAACAAAGCCCAAATGTAAATATGAACCACAAGAATCCTAGCCAAACTTAATTACAACCTTGATTTAAAGAGATTAAAGTGTAAAATAGAAGGATTACATGTAAAATGGAGCTTACTACAATGAAAATGGTGAAGAAAAATGTAAAATCCAGTTTTTTCTCTCTAGAACTTCATCTTCTTTCTTGGACCTTCTCTCTCTAAAAGCTTGATAATCTCCAATAGGTTTTGGTATCGGTACCTAGTGAAGAGGTACCAGTACCTTCTTCATTTCCTCCATTTCAGCAGGTTGAGTTTCAAGTACCAGGTACCGGTACCTAGTGATGTGGCACCAGTACCTACTTTTCAGAGAGCTCAGGTACCGGTACCTAATGACTTGGTACTAGTACCTCTTCTTCATATTTTGAGATTTTTCATTAGTTGAGCTCCCGAGCCATCCGTCTTGAGTTCCTTTTTGTCCCATTGTCCCCAATCACTTTATGAGGTGCCTTATGCCTGCTCTTTCCATCCTATCACCTGCAATCAAGTCATTCTCCATTAATCATCGCTTTGAATCCATTTTCCCAAAAATTCACTAGAAAAAAAGTTCAAAGGGATGCAATGAAGATTTTTAATGTGCAATATTCCACACTCATTAATTACTCAAGTAAACTATTGAATGGTTATTTGCACCTTCGGATTTGCTAAGGTAATTAGGTTGTTGTATGGTACACAAACCTTCTAGTAAACCTGACGGTTACTATGTTATGGTTTGATATATAAATTCCTTCTGATTGACTTACCATTGTGATGGGAGTTAGTTGTAGTCTGGTGGCACTATCATAAACTCAAGCAATGGAACACATGTCCCAATCTTGGAACAAAAGAGCACCTTTTTTAATTTATCGCAAGTAAAACTTGTTTTTAAGCATTCTATTTTTCAATCACCAAGCACACACCAAAATCCAATTTTTCTCTAATTTAATTCACCTTTTCTATTTAAAATTCCCACAGATAGCTCCCTAAGGAATTGACCATGGACTCTATCAAGATATATTACAACTTCACCACTAATACTTGGGTGTGCATGATTAAGATCAAGTCAATGAATGCCATGAATTTAAATTGATCATCTTTTTGAAATATCTAGATTCTTCACTGCAAGGATCATAATACCTCAATCAACCTCAAATAACTTGATCCATGTGACTCATGGAAAAATTCCAATTACAAACAATACATTTACAATAACTATTATAGAGTTTGTTGACCCAACGCTTGATTAAACATGATTTTGATGATGATAAACATCCTAGCATGATCTAATATGTTGATTAGTTGTGTAGATGATGAATTGTAATTGACAAGAATGACATAAGATCAAAGGAAGAAAAGAAAGGAAAAAAATCAGGAATAAAAGGATCACAGTTTTCCCAAGGAATGGGTGAACCGGTATACTGGATGGAGGAACTGGTATACCGAATGTCGAACCGGCAAAGCAAGAAAGCTTCCAGTATCTCTATTTTGAAGAAGTTCCTGACAAACCGGAAAAGTGCCCTAATGAACCAATATACCAATTCATGAACCAGCAAAGACAGAAAACTTTCAGTAGCTCTGTGTTGCAGAAGGCTCTGACAAGCCAGTATACTAGATGGTTGAGCTGGTATACCGGATGAGGCTCTGACAAAATGGCTTAAAATACTACTTTAGTATTTTGAAAGCCATTTGATCCCCACTATAAATAAGGGTCTTCAAGACCATTTTGGGTCTTCTTGCATAAACGAACTTCTAAACTAAGAGCCAAGAAAGAGTTCAACATTCATTTTAAAGTGATTTGATTGTGTGTAAGCTTTATAGTCCACTCTTCTGGTATTGTTCTTGAGATTGAGAGAATATTCTTGTAAAGCAAGAGAGAGTGTGATAGTTTATTCTTCTTGAGTGAAGCTTTTAAAAGTGGAACATTTGTCTTTTACTCAAGGAATAGAAAGGGGTAAAGGTGTTGGAATCTCACCTATTGAAGAGATTCAAGAAAGTGAAAGAGAACCTCCAAGGGGAAAAGGAAGAAGAGGAAAAAGGCCAAGTGTTGGGGCCGAACCTCTATAACTCTTTGTGTTTGTTTTCTCTCTACTCAACTCCTTTTTTCTATACATTGTTCTTAGCATATCATACACACACTTCATTACATTCATTATATTCATTACTATCAACTAGATCAACCAATTTGACAAATAGTGAAATTGGATTTTAAATTAGGCATTAGCTTTGAAAACCTAACTCACTCCCCTCTTAGGTTGCACTTTGGTTCAACAATTAGTATCAGAACAAGGTCTCTAAGAAAAGTGTTTAACAACATTTAGAGAAAAAGATCATGGCAACAATAGGAAGAAACATTGTTGAAGGGCAATCCATCTCTAAACCACCATTCTTTAATGGAAATGACTATGCATATTGGAAAGCTAGAATAAAGATATATATCATGTCTCTAGATGATGCATTATGGGATATCATTGAAGAAGGATATACAAAGCCCACTAGTGATAAAAAAAAACTCGGACTAGTGATGAGAAAACAATAAACACAAATACTGTCGAGGCAATGGACACACTTTATTGTGCTTTGGATAGAAGTGAATTCAATCGCATTTCTAATTGTGAAATCGCAAGTCAAATATGACATATGCTAGAAGTCACACATGAGGGAACTAGTAGAGTAAAAGAATCCAAGATAAATATGTTAGTTCATGATTATGAGCTTTTCAAAATGGATCCTCATGAAAGCATATCTCAAATGTTCACATGTTTTACTAACATCATTAACACACTTAAGTCTCTTGGTAAATCTTATGCTGATGAGGAACTTGTAAGAAAAATACTTAGGTGTCTTCCAATATCGTGGGATGCTAAAGTAACTGCCATCATTGAAGCAAAGGACCTCAAGGCTCTTCCATTGGAAGAACTCATCGGCTCTCTCATGACCTATGAGATAAGTATCAAGAGAGATGATGACCTACAAAAGAAGGAAAAGAAAAAAATTGCCTTCAAGTCTACCAAAGCCTCAAATGAAGAAAACAATGAAGAGAATGAGGAAATTGATGAAGAACTTGCCTTCATCACTAGGAAGTTCAAAAGATTTCACAAGAATCAATGTTCATACAAGAAATGAGAAAATTCAAGAAAAAGTGGGATAATTTGCTATGAGTGCGACAAGCTAGGACACATCAAGCAAAATTTTCTACATTGAAGAAGTCCTACAAGAAAGAAAAGAAAGTTGGTATGAAGGCAACTTGGAGTGATAGTGATAGTGACTCGGACCCTGAAGAGACTAAAGAAACGGCAAATCTTTGCTTCATGGCTATGCAAGAAAGTGATGAGGTAAAATCTAAACCTAAAGAAGAAATTGAGCTTACTATAAATGAAATGTATGATGCCATACTAGAATTGCACAATGACTTGCTTGACATCACCAAAAGACACAAGGAGCTCAAGAAGAAACTTGTCATTCTTTCAAAAGAAAATAACATTTTGAAAATTGAGAATGAAAAACTCATGGCTCAAAATGTCAATTTGAAGAAGGAGTCACAAGAGTCTTCCTTAGTTGATATACTCAAAAAGGAAAATAATGACTTGAGAAGGATGAATTGTGACTTACACAAGAATTTTCTAATTTCACTCAAGTTAGTGAGAAATCATAAAAACTCTTGTCAAGCTAAAGATGTGTGTTTCATAAAGCGGACTTGAGCTTTAACAATCACTCTAGCCAAAAGGCTTATAAGAACTTATTTATATATATATATATATATATATATATATATATATATATATATATATATATATATATATATATATATATATAGAACTTCTTTGTTAAAGAGTCTAAGTCAAAAGAGATTGCCAAAACATGTGGCACCCCAAAATTCGAGGGCCCTTTCTTAACCTGTTGATCACCCATCAACCTGCAAAAGTTTACCCGTGAATACCATGTAACCCGATATCACGTCATTACACCTCATTCACCGGGATCATAATCAAAATAAACTTTGAGCCTACCCCCATGATTATTCTGAAAGTGTTAAGGCAACACTGCCCTGGGAAGAGGTGGAACCTGGATAAGAACTGGAGGAGAAGTGGATGAAGGAGGAATTTGATCCCGCCTTCCATGACAGCCTTGGTATAAAAAGGCATGGCATCCTCAGCACCAACATAGGGGTGATGGATTGCTTTGTTAAAGTCGTCTATGCCGACGTTGTGGGGTATGTCGTAATGGGCTCTAAAGTTGGCAATTTGTTGGGCACCTTTTACGATGTATTTCCTCGGCCTAATGGTCCCAGCCTCTTGGACCTTGGCAGCAGGGCGACGTCTCGACATTTCTCAAAAGGGGAAGAGAAGGGTTCCATGGGATGTTCTCTAATAGGGGAATCCTAAGGGACACCTACAAGAGGAACGAAAGGGTTCCGAGTGGAATTCTCTAAAAAAGGAATCCTAGAGACACTACAAGGCTCAAAACGACGACAAGAGAAGATGAGGGAAGCCTGGAAGGCGACCAGTCAAAAAATGAAAAAAGATTAGCAAACGATGAAAGGGGAATGAAAATCACCGAGAAGTAACTGGAGAAGTGAACTGGGGGCTTGAGAAGGTTTTTTCGCCTTCAACGATAACTAAAAAAATGGTGGTTCTTCGAGCAACAACACTCCGGTGAAGTTCTTTGGCGAATAGGGGTCTGCAAAGTGATGAAGCATGGAATTTTGGTGGAGTTCTCCAGTGGAAAATCTTCGAAATGGCAAAGGAAGCAAAAGTGAAGAAGGGGGGAGGGGGCTCTCTTTATATAGGCCCTCTAACCCCATCATTATGCACGAGACACAATGACAAGTGCATTCAATGTGCACAATCTCCAAAATTGGGAAAATGGCTGAAGCAATGATGGTGCAGTTAAGCCCTTTCACCTTCTAACGACACGTCTCCCCACCGTACGAAGATCAAAGGATTAGGGGTAGTTGATGGGACACTTCTAAGAAGGGAGTGGGTCGTAGACACGTGTCCTCAGCACCGAGGACATCATTGTCCCTGATAGTGCCACATGTCCTCGACACCGAGGCACGTTCTTGTCTCTAAATGAAAGTACATGCCTCAGCACCGAGGCACGTCTGCCCCCTGATATTGAAATTCCTCCTCGACGCTGAAGCACCTCCTATTCTCCTTCGCAGCCACGTATTCTTGGTTCCGAGGGTACCTCCATTCCGAGGCAACCAAATGTCCTCGGCTCCAAGGGAGTTTACTAGAATTCTAGTCTTGCCACGTGTCTCCGATTTCTGGAAAGGCTACTGATTGACATCTGGTCAGCCTCAACTAGACCAGAGATCATAAGGGTGCTCTGCACAATGAGGTCAAAATGACAGGATTAACAAAACATTCCACCAAGGATAGTCAGACACGTGGCATAAAGTGCAAGATGAGGGGTAAAGATATAAAGATACCCCAGCTGATATGCGACTATCTCAAGCAAGCATTTAATGAATCCTCAGTGATGGGATGCATATAATGGATTGGGAAGCCAAACATAAGGAGCACTCAATGCTCTGGGGCCCGGACATTTATTGCCTTCACACCGAAGAAAGAGCATCAAAATGCTCAGGAGTCAGAGCAATTAATAATGGGAGCCTCTCATATGCAAAATAAGAGGTGCACTACCCCATGTTTGGGTACTACCTATTGTCTAGACTATCAGTAATGATGAGTCTCTGCGAGTATAAATAGCTCTCAAAAATGTAGAGCAAAGGTACGCAAAATCACTCCCCAAGAACACAATACATGTTTTCTTCTTTTCCTCTCTCAAAGAATTGACTTGATTGTCAAAGGGAATACGCCGAAAAACACTTTGGCGCCCTTCTAACCTTTCTTTTCGAGTGTCAGGTCGCGCGGAAGAAGATTCTAGCCCACCGAAATCGATCTGACAACCTATAGGACAATTCATCACCACTCCTTGGGCCATCTTTGGCTATTTTCTGTATGCCCGGAGCTGTTTGAGACCTGTCGAGATCGATTGAACCACCCCAGAAGTAATTCATCACCACTCTTTAGGCCCCTTGGGCCATCTTGGGCCTTCTCTAGCCACGGGATCGTCGACTCTTGAGGCAAAAACGAGTTCACCAAGAGAAAGATCTGTTTCTATTTTCATCTATTGTGCGAAAATCACCGCGCACAATTACCTAAAAAAAATATATGAAATATCCATTCTAATTTATTCATTCTATTTTCCATCAAACATGAGTAAATTGGCCTTTGTCAATTATCACTATTTTCATGCTTGTTGCGTGAGATAGTGAATGGGTGATCCATTATTTCCCAACCACCACCACCACTTTTATCTTTTGACCTCAGTCCCCCAAATTGACACAGAGAGACGAAAATCATCTACAAAGAACCTAGTTACTTGAATTCTACCCATTTACAAAGAACCCATAACTATTGAAACTATGTACTACTCACCAACTCTCTGTGTATATTACGTGGGTGTGTGTCTGCGTGGACAGAGATAGGAGGAGATCTGTGGTGTGTTGCTGTTCAAGAGCTAGATCTGGAAGGAGACAGAGAGGTCGCTTGAGTTGTCACCTCCGCCTAAGAACTGAGCAGAGCAGTAATCGCTGCTTCCTTGGTCGCCTGAGTGCACCTGAGAACTGAGCAGCCTCGGTGGACGCCTGAGTTGTCGCCTGAGTGTCGCCTAAGCAGTAATTGCTGCCTTGCTGTCACTGGTGAATGGTGAGATGAAGCAGTGTTGTGTTTTCACTTCTCGTTCCCTACCTTCTACAATTTAAGGCAAAATCAAAATGGCCCAAATAAAAAAAGAAGATTCAAATTTTCATTTATGGACTTCAAACAGTCCGATTTTAAAAAATCATTCGGTTCACGATTTTTTACAAAAATCGGCCGGTTTGGTTGTTTTTATCCGATTCTCTTCCTTATACGGTTTAACTAATCAACCGAACCGATTAAGGTCCCGGGTCACGATTAAACCGGTCCGGTTTTGATAGTAGGGGCCCTTATTTTTTTGTTATTATTTACTCTATAAAACATATGAAATTAATTTAAAGCTTTTTATATGTTTGACGACATGTATTTTGTCACTTGTTTCTTAATTTATAATAACACTTAATGTAATTAAAAAATAGCACATTGACTATAAACACCAAATAATATTAAACACGAAATGAACTTTAAATTATAAATTAATATATAATTTTATCAAAAATTTATATTTAATTTTATCCAATGTATATTCAACTTTGTCGAATTAATATCAAATTAATTTTTATTTTTATCAAATTAATATTGAAATTTATTTAATCAATTTTTTGGAATACTAAATTATATCAATTTTTGGGTACTAAATCAAATTTTATTTGATTTTATTAATTTTTAAAAAAAATTTGGCACTAAATTCGGAGAAGGTAAAAATAATAAGTTTTTTGGGATGAAATAATCAATTTTCGTTAGCAATATTGACTGAATGGAGACAGAGGGAGTCTCCGTGCAATGAATTCCAAACCTCAGGGGGCCTCCGTGTTATTTATAAAATGTTGGGAAGTGTCCGTGTAATATTACCAAAACTCATAGGATGATCGTGATTTTTATCCTGGTTTTTAATTAAACATTAATTTATTACTATTTTATCTTAAAAACTTGAACTTTTGTATTTCTAATAAAAACAGTTATTGATTAGGATGATTTATTTGTAACTAAAAAAGAAATGTATGTAGGTGTGTTTCTGTGTATATTTATATGTCGAGGAATAGACATTTTATGATTAAATTTATAATTATATTGTGTCATTTGGGGTTGAATGGTGATAGTTGTGTTAAATTCGTGAGTTTTATAAATGATGAAGATTTTATTAATTTTATTTATCGCTTAAAGATTGTGAATTTAATTGTATTCTGTTAGTATTTTTTTTTTTTGCTTGAGGTATTTATTATATGGAAATATAGTGGATTTGAAATATTATGGTTGAGTTTATAATTATGTTGTGTTATTAGATTGAGTGGTAGTAGAGGTGATAAATTTGTGAGTCTTATAAATGAGCAAAATTTTATTTATTACTTAAAGATTGTAAATTTCAATAGTTTATGTTAGTATTTTTTTTCAAAGACATTTGTATATATGGTATTTTTTTGAAGAATTTTTATATATTTTTGTGACAATTTCATTAATATAGAGGATATGGTCGAAGATATATTTCGAATCATTTTAAAAGAAAAATTGATATAAATATTTTTAAGTCATTCCTTTTGAATTTGGATAATTGTTTGAAATTTTTTTGTTTGTTGTATAATATTTTCAGGCACGGACAATAACTAGTTTTTAATATGATACCATTTAAGTTACCAACATCAATCAAGAGTATGTGTCAATTGAGTCTTTGACATTTTGTGTCATATTTTTGTTATGACTCCCTTATCGGGGCCACTCAATATACATTGAGGTCTATAACAATGATTCTAAATATTTTTTTTTAATATTTGCTTTAAAAAAATTCATCGCCTTTTGAGATAGTCATTATCAATCAAATTTTACACTTAAATTTTATACACATTTTTTTTAACTAGTTGGTGTACAAGTACGTTGCACGTGGACTATTTCGAATTAGAGTTTTGTTTTCTTATTATAAGAGAAACAACTCCTAAACTTTAATCAAGGTTAACTTGATACCCTCAAACTTCTAGGAAAAAAATTAAATGTTTTGTTTC